CCCCCCCCCCCCCCCGCGGGGTCTTCTTTGGTACCAGATATTCCCGGGCGAATCCCCTCCAGGTAGAGCCAACACTTGAGAACTTGTCAGCTTAGGAATTGAGCCTCGAATAGCTAAAACTCTTACAATTCAAACATCATTCGTGAGACCAGTAAAGAACCCCTCACTGAAACCTATTTACCCCAGGAAGTATGGAACTCAGCCTCGACCAAAGGTAGAGGGTCTTAAGCGCCGACGCTAGCTGTATCCGTGCCAGAATTGCCCCTCGGAGCTTGAACTGTCCTCTCGCCTGACGGCCCTTCGCGCCAGGCCACCAATAGACCTCGGGCATGTGCCTCCCGTCTTCCTTGTGTCCTGTAACAGGCGCGAGATCCGCGACCTGACGGATAGGGACAGGGAGGCGTTTCTGGACGCCATGGAGATCTGGTACACCGTGCCCACCGACGGGGGAAAGGCCAAGTACGGACCCAACTACAGCAGTTACATGTCCATCGCCGCCATCCACGGCACCGATGTAAGCGCGGCCGGCGGGATTCCTTGAATGACTCGAGTGTGTAGGAGAAGGAGCCCCCTAGCGTTCGTTGTTGGGGGTTCCGCCGTCAAGAGTTTCGTGGTGGTGAATGGGCCCCTCACTACAACCGATGCATCTGGCGGGGGCGCATACCGGTCCTGTAGCCGTGCGGAGTGAAGACCTGCCTTTATCCCGCAATCCCCGTTTCAACAAGCATGCCTCAAGACGAGTGTGCGACTGCCGTGTCAACTGACGCATGTACCCAAAACCGTTTCTATTTTCGAAGCCGCTTAGGCCAATCCGTGACCCCCGGCCGTGGGTGCCTCCCTTGATCCTTTCCGATAGACGGGGCGAAAACTAGTGAAAACCGACTGCGATCCTCCTCTTCGGCAGGTTGAAACCTGCTCCTATCACCAAGGTATGCAGTTCCTGACCAGCCACGCGGCGTTCGACCTCATCGTCGAGCGGTACCTCCAGATGATCGACCCGACAGTTTCCCTTCCGGTGTAGGACTACATGATCGACTCGGCATCGCTTGGACTCGAGCGAGTTTTCTTTGTTCTGTAGGCAATCGGTTTGTCGCGTTGAGTTCTCGCGGTAGTGGGCGTCGGTCGTGGTTGGAAAATATTGAAAAACACCATCACTTTCGCGCATGAACACTGCTGCTGCTCCTCTTTCAACAGGTGGTACGACAGCGTAATGTTCCAGCCCGACTGGTATGAGTCCGCGATGGGCGATGTGGAGAACCACTTCATGGTCACCGGCGGCCGTTTCGGCAACGTCTCCGCGATCTACGACCCCGACTAAACCCTCACGGACAGCAGGGTCAAGCCCACACACAACCCTTACGGGTACCTTTCTTCCTCTCACAACTACCAGGTTACGCCCCCGCCCGCCCGCTCTCGCATTCGTTCGCGATTGGTTGCCGTATGAGCCGTACGTTTTGACTTCTTGTGGAATTGTGCTGTATGATTCGTCTATCCACTCCCCCCCCCCCGTGTCTCTCCTC